CCTTCATAATTAATTGTTGTTTCGAATGTATCTCCCAGTGATTTTTCAAACTTCTGCTCATATCCTGGGTGCATGTAATCAGACGAATAGATCGAAATCACTGCATCTACATTGTTCAATTAGAATTACTCTGGTAAAATAACTTATTGACATTATCGCTCCGGTAGAAGTAAATTCATCATTTGCACAAGTTATAATATGAAGGTTGAACAATGCATCATCCTCTTTCAGGTATCTATAGTTGCTCTCATCAAGTATCCTTTTGTTAAATGGAAAACTTAAACAATCTGATCTTTTACAAAAATAGAAAAATAGAAAAGATGAAAGAAGCCTTGAAGTATTTGGGGGTGTCACATAATTTATGTAGTTAGAAGTATTTTGGTGCGGTATTGGAGCAAGGTAAATTTTTGTTTTGTTAGAAGTATTTTGGTGTGCGAGTGGACCAAGGTTATTTTTTGCTTTGTCGCTCTTGGGAATCTGATGCATAGGAGTAAGGTGTTGGGAAGGTGACTGCACTTTTTGCTAAGCCTTAGATTTAACACTTTATCAACTTGTATGATTGGTAATCTAAAGGTTTCTTTGATGCTGTGTAACTGACTACTGTATCTAACAACTAGTTAACATTATGCAGTTGCAGCCACTTGTTCCAGTTCATCAATTTGACAAGCTTCCGAGTTATTTCATATTTGCTGGTCTCGTCTTTATTCCATTAACTCAACCATTCCTTCACGAGTATGGAGAAGACTGGTATAATGCCTCACCCCGTCGGTTGTGTGAACGAGCCCTTCGGGAACTACCTAAGAAACCTGGTGAACAATTCATCATCCTTTCTCAGGTATCTAGAGTTTCTTATCCTTTTGTCAAATAGAAAACTCAAATAATTTGATCTCTTATAAAAATAGAAAAACAAAAAAGCATAAAGACGCCATGAAGTTCCACCATAATTTCACATGCTAAATACATACTGAGACACACAAAACTGATGGTGGACGGGTCTATCCAAATGGGCAGACATTGTTAACGTATTAAGATATTTGCTGCTAGATAACCTTTTGTAAATGTTTCCAGTAAGATTTCTGACATGGGAGGAAGGCATGTCTTATTTTACTTGACAATCTATGTCATTTGGCTAACTTCATAAATAATAAACTTTGTATTTGTTTACTTCAATTTTTTGTGCCTTAACTTTTGCTTCGCAACATGATTCCTAACCTATACATAGAGACGGAGGTCTGTTTTTCCTTTAGGATTGTACTCGCAGATCAATGAGCTATATGCTGCTAATATGACCGTTTGCAATTAATTAGGTGTTGATGGATGATATTAATGCTGGTTATGAGCGCCTTGCCGAGTTGCAGGTAAAACACTTGTTGCTTCTATTACTTCATTCTCCCTTAAAAGACAACATAAGGGCGCCTTATAATTATTTTTCCTCTTTGTTTTCGGGGAAATTTTGAACCGTTTTGTACAGGTGAAGAAGGTTAATGGCGTAGAAGTTCTGAATTTGAAACATTTACGTCAGCTTGTGGAAGATGGTAACCAAAAGAATGTAAGATTTGATTTGGATGATGAGAAGGTGATTGTTTTGAACTATGAATCGGCAAGAATAGCCACATCGCGTATATTGAAACGCCATAGAATACCTCATGCCATGTCTAGTGACCTTACTGATGATGAAAATGCAGTTGAACTTCAGTCAGCTTGCTCAAGCTAATTTTTGTATTACTTCTCTTCACTATTCTTTCCAAATTTTTGCTATGGCTTATTCAAAATTATGTTATTATTATTATTTTTTTGTGGTTTCCCACCCGGTGTCAAGTATCAGCATTGGAGCCTGACTATATCTGGATTCGCGCTGCGTAGGGCCCCATTTGGGGGGAAGTGTTCCCTACCAAGGATTTTTTCATACCCAGGGCTCGAACTCGAGACCTATGGTTAAGGGAAGAGCAGCCCCATCTGCTACACCACATCCTTTGGTGGTTATGTATTACTCCCTCTGTTCCAATTTATGTGAACATGTTTGACTGAGCACAGAGTTTAACAAAAAATGAAGACTTTTGAAATTTGTGGTCCTAAACAAGTCAAAAAGGGGGTTCAGAGTACATTGTGTTGTTATAAAAGCTTCTCACTAATGGTAGAATTGAAAGTTTAAGCTAAATTGTTTCCAAATTTAGAAATGAGTCATTGTTTTTGGAACAAACCAAAAAGGAAATAGGTTTACATAAATTGGAACGGAAGGAGTATTACTTTACTATTACTACTATTTTATAGAAGCCGCTAAGGAGAGGAGCTTGGGGTATTCTGGGAATTGCAATTGTTTTGGCTTTCTAGGGTCAGCATGGGGCTTCAGCTGAAATGGAGGGTGTTTTCGGTATTTAATACGAAATTTGTCCTTTAATTAATTTGTACTTGACTGTTTTAAGGGTGTACATTTCTCTTTCTGGACAAAACAACCATACCTTATTTGCATGTTCCATGAACACGTGTGAACAATATAGGGGTATTATCACTTTTAGCATGCGCTAGAAATTATTTATATTTGATAGCCGAAAAAGTATATAAAATTTGTATAATTTTTGTATATAACATACATAATGTATATATATATAAATTTTATATATTTTTTTTGCTATTATTTTTACAGCGGCTATACAATGTCATTTTTTCAACAATAATTTATACTGAACCAGTGGGCCTTCTTTAGTTTGCTGTCTTACGCGTTCAATTATCTTTTTCAAGGCTATTTTTCCCACGTAAGCTCCTCCTTAAATTTATCAGTTGGGCACTATCAGTTACACGTTCATCTGAGCAATGTCTTTTTCGAGTATAATGAGCTACTAGGCTCTTCCTAAAAAGTAAAACGTTAATTGTTTTTGAGAAGTCTTAGTGGACGTTTGGACATTAAGTATTGTAAAATTTTGAAAAAAGTGAATTTTTTTAAAAGTAAAAATAGTATTTAAAAATTAAAGTTGTATCCCTTCGAGATGACCTAGTTGGTTTGGAGGGCGGTCATCCATACAGATGACCTGGGATCGATACCCCCTCAATACCTCCTGGGTCAAGCCTGTCGCACAGGGCTTGCCTAGTGTGGTTTACATCCCCTATGTGGTTTGCATAGTGGAGGGTTTACCCAATGCTCACCGCAGAGTGTTCACCCGAAGATCAGAGGCTGTAGCAGTTGCGGGTTTTCCTGAGATTCCAAAAAAAAAAAAATTAGAGTTGTGTTTGGACATGAATACAATTTGGAGCTATTTTTAAATTTTTGTGAGTGATTTGAAGTGAAAATTTTGAAAATTAACTTTTTGGAGTTTTCAAATTTTCAAAAATTTTGAAATTCAACTTCAAGTGAAACTTAAAATTTTCATAGCCGAACATTGATTCCGAAAAAAGTAAAAAAAAATCGAATATATATATATATATTTACACTAATAACTAACATTGATTCAAACGGGCCCTTAATAACTAACACTAGCACTTCACCAGATAATATTTACATCGTCCGCCTTAAACCATTGAGAAATTTACTGATTAACACTCAAAAAAGATTAGTGCAACACAACTCCAAAGCCAATCTGCATATTATTAAGGGTCGTCTGTTTAGAAGAATTAGGAGAAATCTTACAAGAATAAAGTTCCTCTTAAAATAACACAAAGTTTGATTGATTATGAAAAATAAATTTCACATAAGTAATGCACTTTTTATTTGATTGTATAAGAGAAAAAAATTCGTCCCAATATATGATAGTGTTTGACTGTTTACGGGGTCTAAAAAAACTTTTGAAACTTGTAGCCTAAAATAAGACATCGATATTTGTGTTGGCTATAAATTATTTCATTAAGGGTACAATAGACAGTTTAAAATTAAATTATTATTAAATATAAAAAGATAATATTTTTTTAGTACTAACAAAATAAGAAAAGTGTCACAGGACGAAGAAATATCATTTTATATGAGATAAAATGTAAAATAGAAATACTCATCTTAGGGTTAAAAAGGACAAGCTAATTACTACAAACCTATATTGTAGGGTTCGTAAAATGTTAATTGTGCTTGAAAAGCAAATAGAACAACACAAGTATTGTTATTTAATGAACTAGTATTGAAAGTACCAAATAAGAATTTATTCCATAATAACACACACTATATACATAATTGTTCTTCATATTTCGCACTTTTACGTTTTTATAATTTTGATGCTATGTTGCTTTCAGTGTTGCAGTAATAAGTAATTTATGAAATAGAAAAATTATTTATTAATTAAAATATTATATATAATATACAAAATAACTTATTTTGGAACGTGCTTTATTATATTTATGACTATGTATAGATTTTATGTTATTTAAGGAAAGTCAAATTTAATAATAAAGATATATGTAGCGGGGAGAGGTTGGTAATAAATCTATGTAAAAGGGGAGCTCCTTAAGTAATAACAAATCTTACTCTTTCCAATCAAACGATGAGAAATTTTTATAACCTTGATTAAAATATTACTATAACTTTCACATCTAAAAAGAATACTATTATAGTATACTCATCCTTTGTATTATTGAATTTATGTAATCTAAAAATAAGTCAACTAACGTAAAAAACTGTCGAAGAATTGCTCACACATAATAGCGGCATAACCTCACTAGTCCTTGTATATTTAATCATTACAAGTACTGAAGAAAAACAGTTAACCATTTTACTTATTGATTTGGAGAAAAGGAGAGGAATGGGATTATGGGAATGACAAATTCAACTTTACCCCTCTATGTACATATTCTATGTTTAATTAAATAAATAATTTTATTAGCTTTGTTGGGTATAACAGAAATTGTGCTTAGGAAAAAATATTGAAGCAGAGAGAGATTAAAGGAGGACCAAACAACAAGAGAAATTAAAGACCAAGAGGAGAACGTTGTTTACGGGCAACGAAGGAAAATTTGAATGGCTATTACCCTTTGAATTTACATTTTAAATAGCCATATTCCCCTTCAGAAAACCAATATCCAATCTATGTTCTTTTAAGCTTGTTTTCCTCTTTTTTTTTTCTCTGGTTTTCATTTTGGTTTTTTCGATTCAAAATAAAACCAAGTTTAAAGAATCGAAAAACCAAAAGAAAGACGAGAGAAAAAGAAAATAATGAATAATATGTTGAGGTTTGTGCTAGCAATTTTGCTAGTAATTCCTTGCATTTTAGTAAATGGAGAGGATCCTTATTTGTTTCACGAATGGAAAGTTACATATGGCACCCTTTCTCCTCTTGGGGTTCCACAAAAAGTCATTTTGATCAATGGCCAATTCCCCGGCCCTAGAATTAATGGCACATCCAACAACAACATTATTGTCAACGTGTTTAACCAGTTGGACGAGCCGCTCCTTTTCACATGGAATGGCGTCCAACAGAGGAAGAACTCGTGGCAAGAAGGTACCCATGGTACCAATTGCCCGATCCCTCCGGGGGCTAATTTCACCTATCGTTTTCAGGTCAAGGATCAAATTGGAAGTTACTACTACTACCCCACCACCACCCTACACCGCGCTGCTGGTGGTTTCGGTGGTATAAGTGTCTTGAGTCGCGCATTGATCCCTGTCCCGTTTGATACCCCTGAGGATGATTTCATGGTCCTTGTGGCTGATTGGTATACCAAGAGCCACACCGAATTGAAAAACTTGTTGGATAATGGGCGCGCTCTTGGAAGGCCACAAGGTGTGATTATCAATGGAAAGAGCGGGAAAGGCGACGGTAAGGATGAGCCAATGTACACTTTGACCCCCGGAAAGACGTACAGGTTCAGGTTTTGCAACGTTGGCATGAAGGATTCTATCAATGTTAGATTCCAGGGCCACACAATGAAACTTGTTGAAATCGAAGGTTCTCACACGGTGCAAAATGTGTATGAATCACTAGACGTCCACTTGGGACAATGCATGTCCGTTCTGATAACTGCTGATCAGGATCCCAAGGACTATTTCCTCGTGGCTTCCACGAGGTTCACCAAGGAACCACATGTTGCTACCGCCACAATCCGTTATGCCAATGGCAAGGGCCCCGCCTCACCCCAATTGCCTAAGGCACCAGAAGGGTGGGCCTGGTCCCTGAACCAGTTCCGCTCCTTCCGTTGGAATTTGACCGCGAGTGCAGCTAGACCTAACCCGCAGGGATCTTACCATTACGGTCAAATCAACATCACGCGCACCATCAAGCTAGTGACTTCGGCTGGCAACGTTGATGGCAAGCTTCGCTATGCCATCAACGGTGTCTCGCATGTGGATCCCGCAACACCAATTAAATTGGCTGAGTACTATGGTGTTGGTGACAAGGTGTTCAAGTATGACTTGATCAAGGATGATTATGAACCAGCATCTGGGAAAGAAGCACAAGATAAAATAACTCTTGCACCTAATTTTGTCAATGCCACTTACCGCAACTTTGTGGAGATCATTTTTGAGAATCATGGCAAAAGTGTTCAATCTTGGCATTTGTCTGGACACTCCTTCTTTGCTGTTGGGTAAGTATCTCTAATAAATAATCTAAATACTTGAAAGTTCTTATGTTATCTTATAATTACTTTGGATTTAAGTTATGTATGTCTGCGAAAGGATGTTTTACACTATCAGTGTAGTTTAACCTATTATAGCCTCTTCATCTTAAAATTATAAGAACTTCGGATTAACCAATTGATACTTACAGTAGCGGTGTACCTTTAGTTATCTTATAATTAACTTGATTGTGTTGACGATATGACTCATAACGATATGATTTATGTTGTGCGGACTCTCCAAAGTATTGTCGCACCCGTGTCTGATCCTCCAAAAATGCATTGCTTTTGAAAAATCCAATATGCACTCGACGATATTTTCGGAGAGTTCGAGCAACATAGGATATGACTAACAAAAGGCAGTGGTGGAGCTTAAAGTAATGAAGGGGGTTCACGTTCAACCGAATCCCCCTCATCGGAAAATTATATTATGCTAATAGGATGACTATAAATTTTTCCGTATATATATACACTGTTGAATCCTCTTAAATACGGGAAGTTTCTAGGTATAGCATTTTTTGTAACTTTCTTGAATTTACATGTTAGAATTCCTGGTTCCGCCGCTGACGAAATACATGAGTGATACATGCAGGATTGAACCAGGGAGGTGGACCCCAGAGAAGAGGAGGAACTACAACTTACTTGATGCAGTGAGTAGGAACACAATCCAAGTTTACCCTAATTCATGGGCAGCAATTATGACAACTCTTGACAATGCTGGATTATGGAATTTGAGATCTAATTCATTGGAAAGAAATTACTTAGGACATCAATTATATTTCAGTGTCCTCTCTCCAAATCACTCAGTTAAAGATGAATACAACATGCCCGACAATGATCTTGTTTGTGGTTTCGTTAAAGACATGCCACGTCCTACTCCTTATAAATCTGGTTAAATTTAATTCATTCTTGTGATTTTTTTTATAAAAAAAAATTATTTTGTACTTTGTACTGTGATTTTTTATTGTACATTGTTTGAGCAAAGAAAAAGCAAGAGTGAGTATAAGCAGGAGAAGGACAAGTTTTTAAGTCCAAGTGAAACAGATATTTTTTTGGTCTCTTTCTTGTGTAAAATATAATTTTAGTTTTGAAATGAATGTATTATTTGTTCTCTTAATGCGTTCATTTATAAATAAGAAATATAGAGATTTTTGTCTTTGTATTCCTGGGGTGCCTTTTGACTCTCTTCTTTGTCCTCTCTATTCTTTTATTCTTTTTCTCGTTCTAATTACTAAGATTATTCAAAATTAAAAGTTACTCACCCCAATGTCTAAAGCTCTTGTCTTACCTCAAATGATTTTATCAGATTTCCTGTTAAACATTTTAATAATATAAAAATAAAAAATAAAATAATTTACAGTTATTTTAGTTATAAGTAAAATAATTAGGAGAATATATATTATATAGTATATAATATAGAAGGTATTACATAAATGGGAGAATTTATAATGTCAAGGTATAAGAGATTTTCCGGGTGAAAGTTTTATAAAATTTGACAAAAGTGACTATTGTGATAATTAGAGCAAAGTAAAATAATTTTTGTGTATAAAAGATAAAAAGTGACTTTTCGGTAGTGAACATAAAGCTGAATGACTTTTTCGTAACAAAAAAAAAGTGACTTTTGGGTATGAATATAAAGCTGAATGATCACCCATGAAATTTACTCAGTTTTTCCTTGTTCTATATTTGTTTATTTACGGTATATTTAGCCAGCTTCTTCATTTATTTTCTTATATATATTTTTATTGGCATGTCAAATATTCAAAATTAAGGATTACTATAATGTTTTGAATTCTATCAAGAGACTCGGCTTTAAAAGAGAAAGTGTGTAAATACATGCATACAAGAACAATATATACTATCATTTTAAACTGCTAAAAGTATGTGCATCTACCAATAAAAAATTTTAAAAAAACTATGTGTGATAGCAATTCTTAACCATATTTAATTCAGTATTTCATACACATCATAGATTCAACTTGCTTTTTACTAAGATAAAATCCTAAATCTGTGATTCAGAAATTGATGAATTGAAGCTCCAGAGTTAGTTAATCCCCTCCCCACCCCACCACTCCCCCCTCCCCAAAAAAAAAAATAATTTCAGATTTTATAAAATTAATCTCTTTATCGGAAACAACCTCGCTACCTTCTCAAAATAGGGGTAAGGTCTGCATACACAGTTACACACTACCCTCTTCAGATCCCACTTGTGAGTTTATACTGGGTGTGCTGTCGTTTGTTGTTGAATTTTTGCACCCGTTTGGACATAAATTTTGGGTACATTTTTACAATATTTTTTTTGTTTTGAAAACATCGTTTGTTCATAGAACATGATCAATTTTTGAAAAAATATTGAAATTTTTGTTCAAGTTTCCAAAAACTTATTTATGGCAGTTTTTGGGTGAAATTTTTTCTTCCACTCTCAATTATTTTTCAAATAAAATGCATGTTCAAACACAACTTCAACTTTCAAAAATTATTTTTCTAACACAATTTCAAAAACTCTTTTTTTCAAGTTTCAACCAAATTTATGTCCAAACGCTAGCTTAATCTCTTATTATACTCTTGTCACATTCTAGTATTTTTGAAACTTTTTTGTTACTCTTCGACAAAAGATTGTTTGCACATATTTTACAGTACTTCGCTTTTTTCTTCTTTTAACTCTTCAATTTACTTACCTCTCTTCTACCATATTACTAAAGAGGTGTCTGTGCTATTGGTATATCACGTCTGTTTACAATTTAAAATTTAGAAAAATAACATTTTTAGATCTCTTATGTGTAATTGATAGATCTCTAACGTGTAAAAGTAAATCTCTCATATGTAAAATAAAAAATAAAAAATAAAAATAATAATTAAAAAAAAAAAAAAGAGATAGGGTCATAAAACTAAAAACAATAAAAAAAAAGTTTTTTTTGGAAGAAAAATATATGATAATTCAGGAAAAACTTGTGTTATCTTATAAAATAATTGTAAGAAAATCTCGTGAACTTAGGTTTGAGAAAATATTTAAGCAAATAAACTTTTTCTCTGCATGTATATGATTGCTAACCTTTGTCTTGCGCAGTTGCAACAAATATTAAATGTTATAAAACATAAACATCAATATAGACCAACATTCTTTATACTAAAATAAATTTAGCCCTTATCTTGAAGCAACATACAACCGTATAATAATGCTCAAGTATCTCCCCCTGTTATATTTATATATCATATTGATTTTATGATCTAGTTGTAATGCAATTTACGTATCACAAAGACGGATGAAATATAAGATGCTTACATACATACTAAGACATAATAATAAATTGAATTAATAAATACAAATACAATATATATATTTGAGATATNTATATATATATATATATATATAAGAGATAAATGCAATTTATAATAATTAGGAAAATGACATTGTATAGCCACCATCAAAATAATGGCCAAAAAATACATATTTTTTGTATATATATATATACATTTTGTATGTTATATACAAAAATTATATATATTTTATACACTTTTTCAGCTACTAAATGTAAATAATTTCTGACGTGGGCTAAAAGAGATAATACCCTATTTAATTATATAGTGTAGTAACAAAAAATTGTGAATAATAGAAAAATAGTAGCACATAGAAGAAGAGGTGTGACCGTGTAATGCGATATTTTCTTATAAAAAGCAGACGAAAAGAATTGAAGGGAAAGATATCCCTTTAAATTATTCCTGTTACAGAACAACAATAATAGTAATGACTTCCAATAAAATACTTCATAGGACTAAATGGCACTATAAAGGATGAGAAGCTGAGTCTTGTAGCTTAATTTAGATATCTTTGAAAATGGAAAATAAATCGCCATTGATATAATCGTTATCGACAAGGCTGACCAAGTAGTAACTGTTTTGAACCTGTAAACAAATTGAAAGAGCAATATTATCAGTAAAGTAAGCGTTCGGACAATATTTGGTTGAAGTCGAAAAAAATGAGTATTTGAAGTTGAATTGAAAAAGTTTATATGGACATGCTTGGACATGAAATTTATACTCAAAGGGAAAAAAAATTGAAGTGTTGCGAGTGAAAAACCATTCTTTCACTCGAAATACTCTTCAAGCTAGTTTTTCAATACTTTACTAGCATTTCAAATACTTAAGTTTAGTATTTGCAAATACTGAAAGGGAACCTTGGCATAATCGGTAAAGTTGCTGCCATGTAACCAGGAGGTCACGGGTTCAAGCGGTGGAAACAACCTCTTGCAGTAATACAGGGTAAGACTACGTACAATAGACCCTTGTGGTCCGACTCTTCACCGGACCCCGCGCATAGCGGGAGCTTAGTGCACCGGCTTTCTACTTGCAAATAATGACTCAAGTATTTGCAAGTGAAGTCATGGCCAAATACCATAGCATTTCGAAAAAATTATAAATTGTTAAATCAAGACATGAGACACAAAGTGTGAAAGAATACATACTTGTTCAAGCAATTTTCTAGATGGATCAGTCTCTGGGTATAATTGAGCCCATCCTCTTGACCAGATTTCAAATGCTTCATCCTTCCACACCATGAAACTGGCGGGATCAACGACTGTCGGTTGTACAATTTCCTTAGCTGGGAAGGCTCCCCATGTCACCGCATTGACATCAGTTTGGCTGATGTTGGAAATCCAGTTTCCTTCCTTGTTTATAGCCATGTATGTTAGATAGGGGAAAGCCTTGCATTTTTCGACGAGGGTGTTTAACTTCTCCCCGGAGCAGAAAAACTCCAAGTAAGCCTTTTGATAAACATATCCACCGGGACCGCCCCATCCTGCAGAAAAAAAGTAAATAATCTCGTAAACAAAAAGGTTATATAACCAAATCCCACGTCATGTAGTTATAAAGAATCAGCATACATGTCATGGAAAAAGCAAAATGTTTTTGCAATAAAAAGAAGGCTGACTAAAAGGATGTACAGCTCGTAGATAAGTAATGAGGTGATAAAAAAAGGCTGCTATAACAAAATCCCTCGTCATGTAGTTATGGGACGAGGTGATAGAGCATCCTAAACGCGCTAAGCAGGAAGTGACATAAAGATAGTTAGCAACTCAAAAAGGATATTATGGGAACAGTTGAATCTCATTTCAAGAATGTATGGACTTGTTTATTAAATAGTGTAAATTGAACTTTGACCATTCAGTAGAAGTTAATTGGTCTCTTTTCCTGGTTGATGAAGCAATGAATAGGTTTTATCCTGACAAGTTCCCATAAGAGTTGGACAAGGACTTATAAAGAAAAGTGTGAAACAGATGCAATTCTTAGAAGACGGTATCTGTGGATAAGACATTTGAGGGTATTGAACAAAGTTATACTAGAGAGGACTAAGCCTTGTTGAATTCCAGTGCATATTAGCGGAACTGTTTTATTTTTTGTACACTTTGGGAGGACCTACAATATTTCAGTTAGTATTAGTGATTGATGCTTGCATCAGGGTAGGCTGCCTACATCACACTCCCTTAGGATGCGCTCCTTTTCCGAACTCTGCATAAACGCGAGATGCTTCGTGCATCAAGCTGCCCTTATTAGTGACTAATGCTTTTTGTTGAGAATCATATTTTTGTGTAAAACTCTAGATTTTCTGTATAAAATCTTGTATGAAAGGTTTTCCTATCACTTTTTAGTTATCTACTATCTGATTAATAATTTTAGGTTCAACCATTCGAAAGTAAAAGAAGAAAAATGATGGAATTGTGCTTACCAACAGAAGGAGAGTCAGACTTCTCAGCATTAACTGCAGGTTGGCTGTTAATAGTCAGGAAACCTTTTGTATTGATATGACCCAACTTTTCGTTTATGATCTTTGTCTCTGGCTGAAGACCGTCTAATTCAGACCAAGGGCAGCTCCTCAGCTTCCCAAGACAGTAGTCCTTAAATCTCTGAAGTGAAAATTCTATAAGTATCAAGACTTAGAAACCAGTCTTCAGTTTTAACAAGAAATGAAAAGTATAAATCATACCTCATAGATATCGTCCACACTATTCAAAGCCACAGCCCATTCCTCTTGCAGCTTCTTATCACGTGACCGTGCACGCATGAACTGTAGAGGTCCAAAGGAAGCTATGTTACAGATAACAAACGTACCAAAACAAC